AACTTGAATATTACTTTTGGAGTAACATCTTTATAATATTATATTATCAAATCTAAAGTATAAAATGTCTTTACAGTCATTAAAAGTTTTAAATGTTTTATTTAGAGAATTAACACTTTCTCCATATTTGTTCACAAGCATTTATGAAATGCTTATTACAGGTCAGGCACTCTTCCAGGTGTTGGAGATATAATAGTGAAAGGTAAAAATTCTGAAAAGCTCCCTTGGAGAGCTTTCATGCTGCTTGAGGGAAGCATATAGTAAATATCAGAAATAATTAAGGTATACTTGGATGTGTTGATTGCTATGAAGAAAATAAAATAGAAAAAGGTAAAGAATATTGGGAGGAATGAAAGTTTTGTCAAGGTGCTTCATAGAAGTAATGTACATTTTCCGTTAAGCAGTTCCAAAATACTTCATAAATATTTGCTGTTATAAATGTCAATCATTTTCATTTTTAAGTTGGTTATTGCTGGTGTACAGAAATGCTACTGTTGGTCTTATATCTAATTCTCTCATTAAGGCTAATAGATTGTTGAACAACTTTCTGAGATAAATAATTGTTCCATCTATAAATAATGATAGTTTTCATTATAATCTTTGTGTACATATTATATTCTTATTGCACAGGCCAGCTATTATCAAACTGCAGTTATGAGACTGGGTATCTTTTCTTTTTCCTGATCCTAAAGAATGCATGTATAGAAACTTTACTATGTATAATTTGTAATCCCCATTCTTATTGCTTTTTGGAATATCTGTTCATAAACTGTGATTAGCCCAAAAGTCAGGTAGTATAGGCATAGTTCTGAGTAAAACTAACCCCTAAAACACAGAACTTGCAACAATAAATGTTTTTCTTCTCAAGAATCTTCTGCATGTCAGCTGTCTGACCAGACCAATATTTTCACTTGAGCTATAAAGGAGACAGTGAAATATCATGTAGGATATTGTTGGACAGTGAATAGTCTCTGCCATAGAGAATAATTCCTGTGAATTTATGTTTGGAAATACTTAAGACATTCAATAAACAAATTATTAGTAATAATGAGAAATTAGCAAGGTGACCAGGTGCAATTAAATCAGTAGTATTTCTACACTATAGTGAATATAGACTATAGAAAGTAATAGAAAAAATTCCATTTGCAATAGCAGCATGAACTGTATAAAAATAGAAGTAAATACATTAATAGATATGAAAGACTTTAATGAGAAAGTCTAGTTGAGAAAAGACATAAAAGAAGACCTAACATAAGTATAATGATATCTGCTTCTGGATGAAGAATAATCAATATTTGAAAAATCAGATTTGCTCAAATGAATAGTTGAATTCAAGGCAATAATGATCCATTTCTATCACACATTTTGAACATAATACTTAGGTTGATTTGAAACTTCACGTGAAAGAAACAAATATCAAACAAGAATTATCAAAAAGTTTTTTAAAGAAAAAATTAAAACAAAATGAGAGGATAACTGTCCTAATATATCAGAGCATATTATAAAGTAATGACAATTAAAACCCTGGTATTGGTATTAACAAAGAAAAATACACCAATGAATCAAAATGAATCCACAAGTGAAAAGTCCTATATAGGAGAATCTAGTATGGCAAAAATTTCCAATTTTAAATAAATTTTGGAAAATGTGTAATATAGAATAAATGAGCTTGGGACAACTGTACTAACAGGAAAATGAAATCCATTCTTTTTTCTGTTATATACTATAAGGGAAAATTAACTTCTAAGACCTAAAGGTGAGAAAGTACATTTTACAAGGACATTTTCATCTGTTCCCTCCTACAGCCATGTAAAAAATGTTAAAAGAATAAAAATAAGATAATAAATCCACACAGAAAAGAGCAAATAAGAGGAAAAAAAACCGTGGTTATGCCAGATTTCAGCAACATTTTGAAAGCTTGAGCACAATTTCTTCTTCTCCCCTCCCCTCCCCATTCATCTTGCCTCTTTTTCCTTTCCTTTTTAAGGTCCGGGACTGACGGGGCACCTTTGCCTCTCTCTGCAGGCCCAGGGCTCATGCAGGGACCCTTCTCCACACAGAGGAATTGTTCTTAGAAAGTGGTTCTAGACCCTCAGTGGGGAGAGGATGCCCTTGCCATAGGGTTCAGCCCAAGCCAGGGAGAAGGCAGGAGGAGTCAGGTTTCCCAGGGCACTGCCAGCTAGCCCAGCAGAGGAGCAGAGCAGCCTTCTGGGGTCACCCAAGCAGAACGCACCCATGGAAATCTCCACTCTCCTTCTCAGGGAAGGGGAGAGAGAGGTGCCTTGTATTTCTGCAGACTTCCCTGCACAAGTCTTACCATCCTCACTAAGTGTTTTTGTTTTTGTTTATTCACACGAGATGATTGTACTTTAATAAAAAATTCTGAGAACTAAAATTTCTAAGATTTGACCCAGGACAAAGTGTCTTTCTTGAAAGAAAGGGAAAGGTGAAAGTCCTGCGAAGTCTGTAGGATGTGGTGGTAGAATTGCAAACACAGAGAGCAGGCCAGGGATAAGTATCACCTGGCTAGGAACTGGAGGGAGCACATCCCCCTACCACACTCACATCAGATCATGCCCACAGAGCATCCCAGTGGTCTTCTGGTTGCCTGGACCAGGAGCTCTGCCGGAAGGAATGTGGACATATTGTGAATTGGAGAAGTGCTCACCAAGCGGGAGAAAGTGTTCACCTTGCAAAGTGGAACCCCTGAAAACAGACCTCGTTCCCTGAAGAAATTAAAGTTGGCGTGCTCCTTGCTGTGCCCCAGGGACAAGGAAGCCAGACTTCTATTTTCAAAGTTGAAATGTAGGTTAGAATGTTAGGAGCAGAAGTGACCAGACAGAGGGGGAGGGGAAAGAAAAGGAATCTGGTAAACAGCATAATTGGCCCCTCGAGACCCCCTTCCTAAAGTTTGAGAAACTTACTCTTCCAACTGCACTATCTTCAAATTCCAAACATTCCCAGCCTTGCCATCTTTAGAAGGCACAGATGGCCTTCGCTCTCCAAAGGTGAGTTGAGAATACTTTTGCCACTTTGACACTTTTTCAACAACATGAGTCATGAAACTAGTTTCCTGAAATCCATCACTGTCCTGTATTCTTCAAGACTCAGGGTTTGATGGCTTAATGTAATTGTTCTCTAGTGGAAATACATCCACAGAAACTATGTTCTAGATATTTTTATTGGGAAGCCAGAACCCTCTAAGCAATTTAAGGGTTTCCACCCTGTGATGGGCTTGAGTCTTCTAAGGACTCAACTCCAGATTCGAAGCGTTGGTCCCTATCAGCATGGCCTAGAGGCCTTGGCTTTGCTGAAGACAGTAGAAGAAAAAACTCTCTCAGAGATCAACTATTTTAAGTCCATGCAGAATTTCTGTTTGGAAAGCATGCTTTATCTAACATGCTTCCCACAACTGCCCATCTGGAGCTGGTTAGAATATAAAGTACTTTTCTAGCTTATAGGATAGATTGCTTAGTTGGTGCATTTTAAAAAAAAGATATCTATAAATTTTAAGGTTATTTCCACTTGTGTACTCACTTACTACTTTTTCTTTTTATTATGACTGCATAACTATATGCTTAAACCTCTGAGAAACTGATATATTAGGCCACTTTCCAGATTTAATACATGTGAAAGTTGATAGACTACAGTTTTAGGAGAATGCCTGTTTCTCCGTGCAATATCAGCCTGATGGAAAGGATCTTTTAAAATGAAAATAGAATGTTTAAGCTGCAGGAAAATGACCCAGTGACACAGATCTTTTATGCTAACTACTTGAAATGAAAATGCGGCTCAGGGACTATAACTGGGTCCACTTGGTGTTCATTGTCTAAGCGTTCTGGGATAAAGAAGAGATGAGAGGGCAATGCAAAGATGACAAGGAACCAGACAGGAGCTGAGCTGAGGAAGCAAGATCAACACCCAGAAGCGTCCCTCACTTATCCCCAGGTGCACATCTGCCATTTCTTCCTAGGCCTTTGTGCTATCCTTTACAGAAAGGAGAGGAAGCTCAAGAAGCTCAAGAAGAGAAATCAAGCTTGTGTTGAAATAATCCAGTTATTCCATAGATGCACCTGAGCTAAATGGTTTTGAGTCTTCTCTGTTTTGGTTGGGAATTTGGGGTTTTCAGTAATATAGGTGAAGGAAAAAGGAAATTTGTATATGGGGATGTTCTGAAATTCTTACTCTTCAAGATTCTGAGACCCCTTGTCTCTCTACTCACTATTTTGAGCAGGAATTGCACTACAATAGACCCAAATTCTAGAAAACCTTCCTTAAGAAAGTATTATTAAGTAGAATCCTGGTATGATGAAACACTTCATTAAATTCACCTGTGGGACCTGAGATTTCTTTCAGCAGTTATATGTACTTTCCTTCATGTGATACCTGATTCTTGAAGTTCACCATTTTGAGTTGATTGGTTCAAGCAGGCCATGGTGTGAGGCAGGAGGGGAGGAAGCTCTCCACTTGATACTCTAAAGTAAAAGGGAAAGCCACATAAATAAATTCAAATTTCCTTAAAAACAGAAAGTACAAGATTATTTAAATAGGGTATTATGATGTATTCCACCAAGGAGGGGTGAGTAGGATTGTGTCTGAGATCCCTAGAGGGGAAACCCAGTGAACTAGAGGCTAAATGGCACTGGACATCATTTAGAACTGAGAAAAATATTCATGTGGACCCCAAACTTTCTCACTGCAAAGATAGAAACCATTCCCTATAATAACTACTAAATTGAACAGAGTCTTAAGTTTAAAACACTTCATTAATGTCCTTCTTAAATTTTCCATTTAAGAGCATATTTTGGGGATAAGTTTTGCTGCAATAAATTGATTTTAAGGATGTGACTTTTTTTTTTCTCCTTGAGTTTTAGCTTTACAGCTGGGTTCTACCATGCTCCTCAGCATGAAAGTGTTCAAGCAGAGTTTGGATGAGCTCTAAGTTCAGAAGGGCAGGCACTCAGTGTGGTCTGCCAACCATTTTTCCAGTCCTGAAGCTAATGGGCCAGAGCATCAACAACCAGACATGGGTCACTGAGTTCATCTTGCTGGGGCTGTCCAGTGATTGGGGCACCCAAGTTTTCCTCTTTGTACTGATCCTGGCCATGTACTTGGTGACCACCGTGGGGAATTCCCTCATTATTCTTCTGATCAGACTGGATAGCAGGCTTCAGACTCCCATGTACTTCTTCCTCAGTGTTCTGTCCCTGGTGGACCTTTGTTATGGAAATAGTGTTGCCCCTCAAATGCTGGCCCACTTGCTCTCAGCCCACAAGTGCATCCCGTTCCACAGCTGTGTGCTCCAGCTCTACACCTCCCTGGCATTGGGTGGTTCTGAGTTCTTCCTGCTGGGAGCCATGGCCTATGACCGCTACGTGGCTGTGTGCCACCCCCTGCACTACACAGTCATCATGCATGGAGGACTCTGCCTGGGGCTGGTGGCCTGCTGCCTGGTGGCTGGTTTCTCAAATTCACTAATGGAAACCATCATCACCTTCCGACTGCCATTGTGTCACAATGTTATTAACCACTTTGCCTGTGAGACCCTGGCGGTGCTTCGGCTGGCCTGTGTGGACATCTCCTTCAACCAGGTCATGGTGGCCCTTTCAGGATTCCTGGTGATCATGCTTCCCTGTTCCTTGGTTCTCTTCTCCTATGCTCGTATAGTGGCTGCCATTCTGCACATTCGTTCTACCCAGGGACGTCGCAAAGCTTTTGGGACGTGTGCCTCCCACCTCACTGTGGTTTGCATGTGCTTTGGGGCCACCATCTTCACCTACCTGGGCCCGCGCTCTGCCTCCTCGGTGGAGAAGGAGAGGATGGTTGCTCTGTTCTATGCCGTGGTGGCACCCATGTTGAACCCCTTGATCTACAGCTTGAGGAATAAGGAAGTTATGGCTGCGCTCTGGAAACTTCTAGACAAATTCAGATAAAGGGTCGAGACCTGTGATCCAAATCAAACAAGAGATAAAGTAAACATAGATAGAACTCCCATGCTTACACCAAAAAAGCCTATGATGGTCAGGTCTCTGTGGTCAAAATGTTCACGTGCTGAATGAATTTTCTCACACACCAATTCCTGATTATTTATAGGCCAGTGATCCTTGAGGTGGCCTCTGTTTAGAATGTCTTCTCTTGGGTGTGCCATCATTTTTGGATGTCTTCTGCCTACTTTTGTTTTTTGTATGTGTCAAAGTCTAAAGTCAGGGCTCTCAAATGTATCCAACAGGCCTGGGCTTTGATGCCTGTTCAGCCTCTCACTGCCTGTGCTGTCTGCACCTCATGGAAGCATTTTTATGGCTGAGTTTTTCTTTTATGTTAAATGGAAAAACAGTGTTTTGCTTCCAGAGTGGTTACAAATGTTAGAGGTAACTGGTCTTAAATGCCCGCCGTGCTGCCTGAGCTGTAAAAGCCACTCACTCCCTTTAGCTACGCCAACCTCTGTCCTCCATTATGAATTAGAAGGTCCTTTACTTTCCCCACTCCTCAGAAGGCTCTGAATTACCAGAAAATTGAAAAATGCACTAATCTTCCTAATGGGTAGCAAATAAGTTTCCTTCTCCTTTGAAATGACTTCCAGAAATCACAGCTGCAATCAATTTGGACATTTTGAGATAGCTTCTGGGGTCTGACCATTCCTGCCAAAGAGGAAAGGAGAATTCTATACTAATTATAACTAAACTGTGTAAACTATGTGACATGTTTACTTTATTTTTTTAAACAATCTTCTAAATGTATTTGTAAAAAATAAACTACACTGTCCAGACTTCATAAATAATACATTCTTTTTTCTGGCCTTTAAACTGTGATGTAGGTTAAATAAATTTGTGGGGAAAATTACATTATCCAAAGGAATTTATGCTGACTTTAATTTCCATAAAATTGATGTATGTGTGCGTGTGTGTGTGTGTGTGTGTGTGTGTGTTTAGGGTGAAGAAGTGCTAATATTGACCATGAAACAAATAAAATTCTGTATCACTAACTTATCAATAATGTCATTTTAAATAACTTGAAAAAAATAGAGAAACTCCTAGAAGGATATTGTTAATTTTGCAGAAGATGAGGGGAAACTTTGATCTGATCTCACCAACCTATATAACTATGCCTTCTTCTTCTTCCCTTCTTTCTCCTTCTCCTTCTCCTTCCTTGTATTAGCAGTACTGAAGAGTAAACCCAGGGTCTCACACATGCTGGGCAAGTGCTGTACCACTGAGCTACTCTACAGCACTTTTTATTTTATTTTTTGAGACAGGATTTTGTACATTTCCCAGGCTGATCTCGAATTTACCAACCCTTCTGCCTCAGCTTCCCAAGAAGCTGGGATTACAGCCATGCACCACCATGCCCAGCCTAGGCCTTCTTTTAATGCTTGATTTCTTCAAGGGATAGTTGTCAAGCTTCCTCATTTATTCTTTCTTTATGTGTTCATTTACTTTCATAACAATACAAAGTTCAGGTAGGACAAGGGGATTTTACAAGTGCACTAACACATCCTGTAATTTATCAAAGGTTGTGTATAATGTCTGAGCCGACAAGCTTGCTTATAAACCATCAATTGCTTCCATTTTAGGTAGTTTGTTTAATTTACCACTTTCAATTCTTACAGAGAAAATAAACATAATGCACACATTTAAAAAGTGTTCCTCATTTACCTTTGTATTAGCGCTTAGATACACATTTTTTAGTTCAAGATGATATTAAAAATTATTCTAATACAACGACAACAAACTATAATTATGCAACTATAAAAGAGCTAATGTGGAATCCATCATTAAGTCATTCTCATGTTTGCAAGGGTGATTCTGAAATGAATACTACTTCTATGCAGTTCTGTTGTAAGCTTTCCAGGTATGGTTTAATCTCTCTCTCTCTCAGTTGTGGGAAGATTTACAAGTTATACTTCATGCACTTTTATGAGAGAGTTTTTCAAGAGCCAACCAACACTAAAAAACTGAATTTCTTAAACCAGTTCATGAGGTAAGAAGGAAAAAAGTTAAATTAACTGGGTTAAACAGGATTCCTACCCAACATCCAAAGCATGTGTGTGATATTCTATAGCAAATTGGGAGTACTCAGTACTGGTTGCTATCTTCTTTCGAAGTAACTTCTGTCATAAGCATTAAGAAGGTGAGTGTTGTAATGCTATCAAGCATATGTGGGTGACTTATTTCTTTTGTGTTAATTTGACTTCCCTGAATAACCTAGTCGGTGAATTAATCACAATTCACAGTGAATTTGGTCACCAGGCAAATCAAGCCTGCAAGAAAAAAAGCCATTATTGAAAATACTACTCAAATGATTTACTTTTGACATAAACATATAACCTCAATATGAGATATCTAACAAAAACAAGCACTTCCAATGAGACCACAACAGCATCTCTTCTTCCAAGGTTTAGGTTTTCCCCAGAATTCCTGACACATGGAATAGCCGATACGGAGAGTCATTGCTCCTACACTAAAGCCTTGGGCTGCCACAGGCATGTCCATCAGGTGAGTGGTCATTTTTGTATCTCCCTGTTCTTCAATTTGTATAATCCACATGCAACAACTGCAAGACCTGCCATTCCAAAAGGTACGAATGGTGCCTATTTAGCTTTTCAGATAAGTTTAGATCCCTGTTCTTCATCATATGAAGAAAGAGAAACATCTGTGTTGGTTGATGTGGTGACTGCTTGAAAAACTTCTGAAAGCAACAAAACCATTCACCACTGGACCAGCTTCTTCTCATTTATTCTTTCTTTCTTCTTTCTTCTTTTTTTTTTTTTGGTATCAGGGATTGAACTCAGGGGCACTCAACCACTGAGCCACATCCCCACCCCTATTTTGTATTTTATTTAGAGACAGGTCTCACTGAGTTGCTTAGTGCCTCACTTTTGAAGCTGGCTTTGAATGCTCCTGCCTCAGCCTCCCAAGCAGCTGGGATTACAGACATGCACCACCACGCCTGACTCATTTATTCTTAATAGTCTCCTACTTTTCAACATCAGTATCCTATAGAAATAAAGCTAATGTGAAAAGATATTTAAAAATTTAATTCCTACCTAAAATTATATATATATAGGTTCACTATCTATGCCTCTCTCCAATGGGAAAAAAATCTCTAGCAGTTGCTTTCAAATTTGTTGGAATATCTCTTGGCACATTAGACATGATCTTTGGAGAACAAAAATTTCATATTTTGTATCTTTTAAGCCTGTTGCCCAACAAAGTACATTGTTTATAATAGTGAATCTATAAACATTACTGAGTAAAAGAATAAGAGAACTGATTTTTATTGGCCAAACACTTTTCTTTCATATGATAATTACATGATATAAAATTATTCCAAATTTTAAAAGCTAGGTAAAATTTCTTTCTGCTTTCTTAATTAAAATTTTATAGGTACTATGTAAATACATTCTAAGATATTATTTGAGGCACTATTATGCCATATAGAAATTGCTATTACTATTGGATTTAAAATTGCCATTGAAATCTAATAAAAAATGAAATGGTAAAATTATTTTTTAAAAAATCTAAATTCTGTGCACCAGGAAGAAAGAACTAACACTTGGAAGCAATGCTTTTGGAACAGTAAAAAAAAAATCATTCTGGGTCTTTGTAGTTTTCTCTATTGTGCAATAATATATAAATAAATCACATGTTTTTGTTTTCTAGCTTCACCATTTTATTTTACCATCAATTCAACAGCATGCCTGGAAGAGATAAATGGATGGAGGGTTCAAGATGAGGCTGTAGAGTCGGGCAGGGTCCCAAATTGTAGGAGCCTAAGATCATGGTAGGAATTTAGGATTTTATGCTAAAGGCAATGGGACACCATTAAAACTTTTTAAGTCAAAGGAAACAGTTATATTCAGACTTTTCATTTGAAAATCAAATGTATTCTGGCTGGTATATGGAGAAAAAAATTGGCGATGAAGATGGTGTTGGAAAATAAGGATATTATTGTAATAATAATTCATTAAAGAGTAGTAGAGAATTGGACTGTGGTATGTCTAGCAGGGGAGGGAGAAAGTTAGACAAATATGAAAAAGATAGAAAAAGTAAGTGATGTTTAGGTAATTGGACTGAGAAAGGGAAGTAAAGAAGAAAGATAATCAAGAATGTCAGTTTTCAGTCATGAGCAATTTAATGAGTGGTGACACATTCATTTTCTGCGGGACTCTTCAGTTTCCTTGAAAGTCTAGTGCGGCCCCTCTCTTCACAGGGCCCTCTTATCATGCTTGCTTCCTCCCTCCACTTTGCAAACTTGCAGCAGACAGTCTGTCTTGGCTTAGACCCATTCCCCAAGGAGGTTTCCTTCAGCCTTGACCCACTCCACTGCTATGCACGGGTCCTCCAATATGGTAACAAATGGTTTCTTCAACTCTTCCTTAAATGAGAGCAATTTTAGACCTTTAAACATTATGTGTGCCCTAAATGAGTGTGATATCCTGAATTAAATATATGAGTCAATATTAGTTCAGACCAGTAGATGGCATCTCACTTTTTTAAGAAGCAAGTTTCCTTTAAAATGCAGAATAATTGAGGCCCTCCTACAGTTTTTCATCATGGAAATTGTGTATAACATGGCTGGGGTTGTGGCATTTGCCTAGCATGAGTGAGGCATTGGGTTCAATCCTCAGCACCACATAAAAATAAAATAAAGGTATTGTGTCCACCTACAACTAAAAAAATAAATATTTTAAAAAAGTATAACATGAAATTTGTCATTTTAGCCATTTTTAAGTGTATGATTTAGTGAATCAATTGTATTTGAAATGTTGTGTGACAATCACTACTATTTCCAAAATTTTTATCACCTAATTTTGTATTTAATTGATTTTCTAAGACTTGTATCTTATACTCTTATACAAAGTCTTTACAACTGGACCACTGAACTCTGTCTGTTTTAAAGGAAGGTATTTCCATTTAGCTCTTCTACATGTTTT